GCAGGGAAGTCCAGCACACAGATCATACTGTGAGGGTGCCCAGAAGTGTCCTTAATTGCTTGTTAGTGACTTAAGTGGAGAGTGGGCGGGCTTGGGAGGATTCAGTCAAGTGTCATTTAACTACTCAAACTCTTACATTAGAGGAGAAATCTTCAAGTAGAGGTTTAAGGTCTCATGCTTTAAAAAAAAAAATCATACAGAGAAATCCTGTGGGCCTCTGAGAGGCATGTGAGCCTGGCTGGCTGTGGGGCTGTGTAAACAATGGTTATGACCATGACTGAGCCAAGCCCCACTCGGGGCTCTGCAGGCTGCGTCAGTTGTGCCTGTGGCTCGTGAAACTTCTGCCTTTAGGGAACCCTTTTAGGAAAGAGGAAACTGACACTGGGAGCAGGGGCAGAAAGCTGCCCTGGGTCACATCATGCAGCTGCTGTGAGACACCCTCTGTCGTGAAAGGTCATATTTCTAAACAGCTAATGCTAATACCAGTTGCCAAAGCTGGACAGAATTAGGTTTGCTGAACTCTAAAATAGATGCTCTTAGGAGATTGAATGGCCCATTTTTCTGTAATTCAGGGCTGATGACCCCATTTCTGGATTGCCCATCCATCAGCAAATATTTATCAAACTGAGCTTAGGGCTAGGTGGTTTCGTATATTTAAAAAACTGTGTAAACATGTCCCATCCCTCCAGGAGTTAGTCTAGCCAGGGCAGTAAGACAAACTCATAACACCCCATGCATGCTCGTGTCTAGTCAGAGCTGGACTCTGCTTGCACACAGAAGCTGGGCATGGTGGTGGCCCTGGCCACTCTGGCCAAGGCTGGGAATCTCAGGGGAAGGGCAGATCCCCGGGGGCTAGGCTAGCCAGAAAAGATGGCTGATTTGTGCCCACCTCACCCCTCTTCCTTCCAGGGCAGTCTCCTAGCATATGACTAGCTATCTCTCTGTGGTGTTTGTTGATGCCACTTGTGACTTCCCATTGTTCTAATCTCTCATGTGATGAAAGAGGCAAAAGGAAGCTGCCAACCTTCCCATGTACCTCCCTTTAATGCCTTTCCAGAGCACTGGGAGAAATAAGTTTCCATGGTTTCTGTCCACCAGTCTATTGTATTTTGCTCCAGCAACACAAATGGGCCAAGAAATCACTCCAGCTTCTCTAGGTGGTCTCCCCAAATCTGCGTCCACCATCATGTGATGGTGCTGGCTATCATAACTCAGAAAAATCTGACTCCACTTCCACTACACAAGTTTAGAAATAGTGAACTTTTATAAACTTACATTGACTTCTCAGATGGGTTTATCACAGCTACATTGCACCCATGACTTGCAGTCTGTAGCCACATGTGACCTCCTTTTAAAGGAAAGTCTAGATTCTAACGCTAATAACTACATTGAGTAAAAGTATATTCCTTCTAAGGTTCCAACTTTTAAGTATTTTTACATTTTTTGTATTAGATAATACATTCACATGGTTCAACAATCAAAACCATATAAAATATTCTCAGTGAAAATTTTCCTCCTACCTTTAGCCCCAAGACACCACATACTCTAGGTGCCATGAGGTCCTAATCAGTAATTGATTGCTAGTTTTATATGTTTTTTTCTGGACCATGTTTATGCAAATATATATAAATATGAATGTTTTTATTCCCTCATTTTAATTTTTATAAATTATTTTATTCATTTTTCTGTATTTATTTATAATAATATTTTGGACACTTTGTTTCTGCATATATGGACAGCGTCATCATTCTTTCTGTTGAAATGACATGGCATAATTTATTAAGTCAGTCCCTACTGATGGACATTTGGATTGCCTCCAAACTTGTGCTATTATTAACAATGCTGAAAGAAATAATGATGTTCGTACATCATCTTATACAGTTGCAAGTACATCTGTAGGATAAATTACAGAAAGTTGAATTGCTGAATACATTTAGGATTGGTTGTGTTTCACCAATTGCCTTCCACAGAGGCTACCACCTGTTTATATTTCTAGCAATGTTAGAGGGACTCCTCTCACAGCCTCATCAAGAGCCTGTATTTTCAAACTTTTGCAGTTTTGCCAAGCTACGAAGTAAAAAAAAAAAATTCTATTCAAATTTTTGATAATTTTAATCTTGATATAGTGTAAAACTGATAAAACTTATAGGAATATCTGAAGAGTTCCTATATATTCCGTTTTCTTTTTTTTTTTTTTTTTCATTTTTTTGGGGGGAGTGGTTCTGGGAATTGAACCCAGGGGTGTTTTATCACTGAGCTACGTCACCATTCCTTTTTATTTTTTATTTTGAGACAGGGTCTCACTAAGTTGCTTAAGGCCTCTCTTTGCTGAGGCTGGCCTTTTACCTGCAATCCTGCTGTCTCAGCCTCCAGAGCCACTGGGTTTAAAGGTGTGTGCCACCACGCCCAGCGTGGTTTCCTATATATTCTTGATTGAGCTTTAAGTGACATTTTTCTAATTAAGAGTGGAGTTATGAATAAAGCCAAAGAGCTAATGAACAATGTCATTAACCAAACTAATGCAAAATGTCCCTATGGACCCCAGAAAACAAGCCAGGAGGATAATCACCAAGAGTAATAAGACCTGAGTGATGTCTGTTCCCATGTGTGGAAAGCAGAGAGAAGGCTGGCAATTGCTTAAGATCCTCCCAACTGTAGAGACCACACACAGAGATAGATGCTCACAGGAAGCTCTCAGAAGGCGAGCCTGAGGATGACAGCCCAAACTAGGAAGGCCCGTGGAAGGCTCCAGTTCGTGGGTGAGTGCAGGTATGCGTGGTTGGTAAGGTTGGACAATGGTGGACAACCTGAGCCCTTGTGAACTCTTGAAACCAACTAACCCAAGATCCTTACCTACACAAAGTCCCTCCCTAAAGAACCGCTGGGATAGGATCCAAATCAAGCAGAATAAGGACATTAGGGATGAAAGAAATAGAAAGTCCAAAGGTGGAAGGAAATATTGGAAGGTATAAGGCCTTATTGTCCAAGATTTGGTGAAAATTGGGAAGAGGGAGCCCAAAAACATATAGGCAAAAATACAAAAAGTTGTATGCAAGAATATTCACTGTGGCTGGGGCTGGGGCTCTGTGGTAGCACACTTGCTTGGCATGTGTGAGGTACTGGTTCGATTCTCAGCACTGCATATAAATAAATAAAATAAATATTTATCAACAAAAAAATTAAAAACAAAAGAATATTCACTGTGACTCAACATTCCATTAATAAGAGAATATTTTCTCAATTGTGTGCATCCACACAATGGACTGCCATGTAACTGTTATGCTCGAATTCGGGACCCCCAAAAGACCACCAGAGACCCAGGATCGATGTAAGCAGCGAAGAGGTGTTTATTACAAGCTAGCTCGGTCCTCCGCGTGCGCACACACAGCAACTGGTGACGCTGAGAGGCCCCGAGCCCAGGGTTTGCAGCAGTTTTATACATTCTTTGGAGAAGGCAGGGACCTCACATACATCATAGCATCTCTTAGCAAATCATCACACACCACAGGAAAATCAAATAACTCTAAAACATGATTAGCACATTCACTGGCGGCAACAAGTTGGGTAGGGGTGATTGGTTACTACAAGAGGGGGATTCATTTGAACTGATTGGTTTAAGCCAAGAGGGGTGTTCTTGCTGAACTACATGATTTCCCAACATGTTATCAACCACCATAAACTACTGGGAGGGTCATCTGGCATCCCAGGTATTTCCCTGTCTCATGCTGATTGGTGGCTGCTAGGGGGTTGCTGTGGATCCACACCTAGCCTGAGTCAGGGACACCTGGCGCAGCAGATCTCTCCTGTTATTTGTAGATAAACAATTTAGCAGGGTGGGAATGTGCCTAGGAGTACTCTGTGGGTCTTTCCAAGGACAAAGGTCATGTCCCTTCCTTGGACAGGCTTTGCTCTGAGGTAGAGG